CCTTATCTCTAATTTTGTTGAAAAGATAGTATAAACAATAATGAGAAAGACAAAGCATTTTTTCTAGTTGAGATAAGGATAGCTATACAGGGAGAGTCCTAGCTTTGCTTCCATGTACAAATGTGTTACATTCTAAGGTGGTTCTTCTCAGACTGACCTTTTCTCTAGTTCCTGATCCCCTTCTCCTATTGAACCTCTGTCGCTTTAAAGTTTCTGCATTAGTTCCTCTGCATTGAAGAACATCAAATACTATCATCTAAACTGAAGAAACCACCCACAGAGTGGGAGAAAATATTTGCCAGCTATTCATCAGACAAAGGGCTGATAACCAGAATATACAGGGAACTTAAGAAACTAAACTCTCCCAAAATCAATGAACCAATAAAGAAATGGGCAACTGAAATGAACAGAACTTTCTCAAAAGAAGAAATTCAAATGGACAAAAAACACATGAAAAAATGCTCACCATCTCTAGCCATAAAGGAAATGCAAATCAAAACCACACTAAGATTCCACCTCACCCCTGTTAGAATAGCTATCATTAGAAACACTACCAACAACAGGTGTTGATAAAGATGTAGGGAAAAAGGAACCCTCGTACACTGCTGGTGGGAGTGCAAACTAGTGCAACCATTCTGAAAAAAAATTGGAGGCTTCTTAAAAATCTAAACATAGATCTGCCATATGATCCAGCAATCCACTCCTAGGGATATACCCAAAGGAATGCAACTCAGGTTACTCCAGAGGCACCTGCACACCCATGTTTATTGTAGCGCTATTCACAATAGCCAAGTTATGGAAACAACCAAGATGCCCCACTTACTGACAAATGGATCAAGAAAATGTGGTATCTATACACAGTGGAATTTTAGTCAACCCTAAAGAAGAATGAAATCTTATCATTCACAAGTAAATGGATGGAACTGGAGAACATAATCTTGAGCAAGGTTAGCCAGGCTCAGAAGACCAAAAATCGTATGTTCTCCCTCATATGCGGACTTTAGATCTAGGGCAAATACAGCAATGTGATTGGACTTTGGTCACATGATAAGGGGAGAGCACACATGGGAGGTATGGGGATAGGTAAGAAACCCATCCTTTTATTATTATGGAGTGACCTTCTTTGTCTGTCTGAATAATTTAGGTGTGAGGTATACTTTTTAAGATGTAAGTATAGATGCTCCTGTCTGTATTTAAGGTTCACTTGCTTGGAAAATCTTTTGCCCTCCTTTTACCCTAAGTCAATATTTGTTTTTGTCAGTGAGATATGTTTTTTGTAGGCAACAAATCATTGGGTCTTGCTTTTGAATTCAGCTCACCACTCTGTATTTTGACTGGGAATTGAGAACATTAACATGAACTGTTAATATTGAAAGGTTTGCGATAATTCCTTCCATTTTGTTGGGTTTTTAATTATTTATTTATTTATAAATTTATTGTATTTGAGTCTTACCTACTCTTCACATGCTTATTTACTACTCTGGTGAGATTTATTTTTTCTCATATTTTCATGGCTATGTTTATCTTCTTTGTTTAGAATTCCTTTGAGTATCTTCTGGAGTGCTCCCTCAGTGGTCATTAATTACTTTAGTTTCTGTTTATCATGGAAGGTTTTTATTTATTTTTTTAACTGTGAATGATGGCTTTCCTGGGTAGAGTAATCTAGGTTTTAAGATATTTTCTTTCAGCACTTGAAATACCTCATTCCATACCCTCCTTACTCTTAAGGTTTCTGTTGAGAAATCTGCTGGTATTCTGATGGGTTGGCTGTTATAGGTACTTGACATTTCTGCTCAGGGCTTCTATGCATTCTCATACCTCCCCCCACATGAATTTCAGCAAATTGTAATTTTTAATTATTCCAAGAAAATTGTATGCCATCTGTTGTCTGCCTGGTTAAGAATGTGCTCTCATTCTGTGTCAGCTTAGAAGTACGTCTTTCTTTAGGTTTCAATTTATTGATTGCTTTCCTACTTGATAATCGAAAAAAAATTGATTATGCAGAAAACTTGGCTTTTGTTGTTGTTGTAAAGGTGGGAGTAGTGCCCATTCCAGTTTCCTACAGTCTAAGTGGAGCAGGAAGTCTTGCCGTACTGACCTCATTTTTTTATTTTTGGCAATGATGGGGTTTGAACTTATGGACTCATGCTTGCTAGGCAGGTGCTTTACTACTTGATCCACTCCATTTGCCCTTTTATTGTGTTAGGTATTTTTGAGATAGGGTTTCATGAACTATTTGCCTGGACTGGCTTCTAACCGCAATCCTCCTGATCTCTGCCTCCTGAGTAGCTAGGATCACAGGTGTGAGCCTCCAGTGCCTGGCCTGGCCCCACTTTTTACTTTACTTTACTGCTACAAATTCTGTGAATATCCTTGAGTATACAACTCTGTGCCCTTATGTGATTAAGTCTGTAAGAGAGAATATTAGAATATTATTTTTATAAAAGGTCCTATAAATATATAATTATTGCAGGATTGATTACATTCTCTTCCAAAGATCTCTTATCAACCAATACTCCTATAAACAGAGAAAGAAGGCTCTTTTAGAAATTTATTTCTAATCCAATAGTTCAAAATTAAAATTTGTAGTTTTAAATACTATTTTCCTAATCTCTGCTTAAGTTGCATATTTCTCCATATTTTTTTCCCTAGCTATTTGTGCATTGTAATTGCTTTTTATTACCAGAGTTAGGTTCTTGGGTCTAGGAACAGTAGAAAGTAGTCTAGACCCAGAGGGTACAGGCAAGCCTTTATATTAAAACATTTGTTTGACCTCTATGGGAGACGCAGCTCCAACTAGGAGCAAGTCAGGCAGCAGCTAATATAGGAAGAATTCCTACCAGCATTTCCCATTCAGATCTTTTCATGCAAATTAGGGGCTCAAATTTGTAGAGAGTGTAGGGTCCTGCTGGCTGATCAATGTTGGAGCTCAGTTGTGGGTAGCTCGTTGGTCAGTTCTGAATAGAGAATAAGGCAGATATACAGGTGCCTGACTCTGGTTTGCATTTGTATGAGTATGATGTGTTGGCAGCTGTTATATTTTTAACTCTGGAGCTACATGTAAGCCCTGTGTCCTTACTTATGTCTGTATTTACTTTGCTATGAAAACAAAAAATGGGTATAATCCCTTCAGGGCCCCTTCCCAAAATCTGATTTTTATACCTTTTTTTTTTTTTTTTGTGGTCCCCACTGTCTCATTCTGTGTTCTTCATCTTTTTCTTTGTTAGGAGTTTATTATTTGAGCTACTAACATTTTGTAGCTTTGCAGTACAAATTAAGTTAGTGGTAATCTGATATCTCTACTTTAAGAACAAATTGTACTTTTGTATGTCCTTGTTTGTAACTTTAAAAGGGCTCGACTACTTTTTTTAAAAATATGGAATGCTTCATGAATTTGTATGTCATCTTTGCACAGGGACCATTCTAATCTGCTCTGTATCATAACAATTTTAGTATATGTGCTGCTGAAGCAAGCACTTTACTACTGTTTTAAGGAAGAATCTTAAACCAGTAATTTTTATTTTTATAACATGAATTAATAATACAATGCCTTTTGCTTTAGCTGTGTTTTTCATATGAAGGCTTACTAAATGTTTTAAATGGGCTGATTGATTTGTTCAAAAGAAAAAGAATTCCTGAAAAGGAAATGAAAATTATAGTTATGTTGTAACTGAAAAATTACTTTTATAAATAATTATTTTATGGATAACTTGAAACTGACCTACTTTATGATAAATACTTGCTGTTGCATTACACCTTCCAAATATTTATTACATCTTCATTTTAGTTTGAGTTTGTTAATAACCAATGTCAAATTTACTTACAATTTGAGTTTGTTAATAACCGATGTCAAATTTACTTATTTCATAATCATTATATATATTCTCTTCTGGGTGAGAATTTTAGGATTATAATGAAAAAACATAGTGACATTATATGCAGTTAAATGAAGAACATTTGTCAAAAGAAAAATTTTCTCCATTTTCACCCTTCAACTTCTCCAAGTGGTATTTGGCTTCGTTACATCTTACTTCACATTAAATGAGGAAGACTTCATTTAGATTGTGAATGAATATTTTTAGGACTCTAACTCAGTACTTGAAGTTAGTTAAGGTAGCTATTTCTGGAGCTTCATTAGGGGGATACATTCTGAGGAATTTGTGAACATCACAGAATAGATTTACACAAGCTAAGCCAACTACACCATCATTAGGTGACATGATCTTATGAAACCATGATCATGATGGGCTCCATCATTGACTTAACCCTCATTTTGTGAGACATGACTGTGCTCTGGCAGCTATTTACCTAATACTTATCAAATGGCTAATATGGAAAACAAAGTGATGATAAAGTCACAGGACTCCTATTGCTTACAATTTATTCTGGTAACTAATTCAGAAAAATGTGAAGTATTAAAACAAAAAGGTCACAGAACAAGAGTCACCAATCTAATTTCAAAATTGATGCCACTTCAGAATATTTTTCTCCTACCAAACTATCTAGGTTCCTGATACATATGTAGACCGTATTTATCCTTCCTATTGCTGTATTACAAGGGATAATGGGTGAGGATGGCTGCTATCCCCAGATTTTCCCTCAGAAATATTATAAATCTGCTGAACTTCCTTCTAAAAGTTTACTTTAAAGTTTGACCACTCTGAAGTTTGAACATTGGCCAATATGCAAGAGATGAGAAAAGCTGTTAAAGGATAAACAGGGAACTTTCATAATAATCCTTAATACTACAATTCAGAATTCTTTCCTGGAAGAACAGAAGAGTGTGTTTGGCTCCATTTATGGGTTTCTTACTTGCACTTAAAAAAAAAAAAAAAAGAAACTTCCTTTGTTTGGCCTGGGTTATATAGATCATTGAGAAAGGGAATTAACATCTTTACTATTATACAAAATATCTGAGAATATTAATCAGATTGTAATAATTTTTTACCTAGTTCATGTAGAAGTACATTGTTACTGCTTTGCTTCATTGTTTTAAACAGACAACATAACCAGTGCTGAGGGTTGGCAAGTAAATGTGACCTTGAATATTCGTCCGTCTACCAGCACTGGTGTTATGCTTGCCTTGGTTTCTGGTAACACAGTGCCCTTTGCCTTGTCCTTGGTGGACTCTGCCTCTGAAAACACTCAGGTAACTTTAAACCTCTTTTTTTTTCCCTTGACATGAATGTAATAATGCACATCTTGAAGAACTATCTTGAAGGTAAATCTTATGTGTTTGGTACAATTTCCAGCATATCATTAAGGACTTAATAAAAGCCCATTATTACTATTCTTTTGTTGGACAGACTCACACACAGTCTGCTTGGAGACATCACAGAGTATCTAGAGATTCACCCTTATTCAGAATCTATGTAGCACCATGGGAAATAGTTTGTACTAACAAAATGGAAGTGAGTCTGATAACAATCTACTCTCATATTCAGTGTTTAATTATAGTGTTTTGTGCTCTCTCGCACTTTTAATCTTTTCTCCCATGAGTAAATTAGAAAAGAAAAAAGAAAACTAAAACAGGTCTGCCTGGCTTCTTACTGGCAAATCTTATTTGAAATTAGGAGGAGGAACAGGAAAGTCTTGAATACAAGGAAACATGAAAGTTATCAGAAGATCTATGTTATTCACACTTCCGTAAGAGACAATGGTTCTGTCCATGTGTCACCCACTGTTGAGTCCGAGTTTCAACAAGCAGTTTATGTTCATGCCAAGGTTGGCTCAGATACTTTCATAATTTCATTAGCTTTTACTGATACATATAATTGAATAATGGCACCAGTAATAAAAAGGGGGGTTCATTTTGTAATTTATAGGATGATTTGGGAGGAGTTTCTGGTGGATAAATGTAAGCAATCAAACAAGTCCTGTTGAGGTCATTTTAGGGCTTGATTTTGTTTTTAAATCTGTGATCTACAAAGAGCTTACCACATTTAGATTTAAGGGTTTTTTGCTGGTTGGTTTTATCTTCTTAAACAGAGTGCAATTCCTATCTCTAACAGTAGTTTCACATAGTGGAAGAGGTTAATACATGATATGTCTTTGTTATTCATTTAATCCTTATCCTGTGTTTGTCTCCATGGCTCTTTTTGCACATCAGGTTCCATTTTCAAGATCCGTGGACAATATTTCATAAGAGGGTTCCATGTGCTATTGATCATTCCAGAGAACTCACTCAACTGACAGTCTCTTTTAGTGAATTAAGTATATGGACATTTATAGCACAGTAAAAGATTTCCTCAAATAACCAATATTTTGGAAGTGTATACTTTTCACTTCTCATCTCAAAATTCATTCTTAAGTGGAATTACTCTTAGAACTTGTTTGTACTGAGTCTTTGCTCTGCTTTTCAGGATATTCTGATATCTGTTGACAATATGGTAGTGTCCCGAATAGAGGCCATAAATCTGTGTTCTGGTCAACAATCTCACCTAAAATTCAGAGTCAACAGAAATGGTCTGGAGTTACACCCTCCACTTAAAGAAGGCATCATCTACTCTGAAGATCTTGAACAGCAACTTGCCATATTGGACAAAGCAATGAAAGGAACAGTGGCCACTTATCTGGGTGGCCTTCCAGGTATCTGCTTATTTTTTCTTTAGTTTTAAAAGTACATTTTAAATTAAACTGATGATATCTTAAAATAGAGAATTGTAGCCAAAAGGCAAGACAAAAATTCCAGTATCCATTATTGGATACTAACATTTTATTGGTAAATTTTGTTTGATGTTTTTAATGGTCAACTGAAGCTAATCAGGCTAATCTTGCTTCACGTGGCTATCTAAGCCAGAAAGGATACAGTATTTGATTCTATCCTCACAATATTCTTGTAAGTTTAGTATATATTCTTCAACTTATTCATAAAGTAATAAACAAAAAAAACTCACTGCTGTTAAGGCTTTTACAGTCTTGTGGCAGAGACAGACAATAAGCCACTCATTAAGAAAATATCAAAATGGTTAAAACTGGTCACTTCTATGAAGGAAAAGTATGGGTTGCTTTTCAAGCTTGAAAATGAGGACTTGAATTGGTTGTGAGGACCAGGAATGAGCTCTCTAAATAAGAAATTGAAGTATAAATCCTATATGTGAAGAGTTAAACGAATTTAACCAGTGGGGATTAGAGGATATGTAAGTAGAATTGTCCTGCGGTGGGAAGGGGTGGGCACCTTTGAATATGCAGAAGATTTCTGTGGGTGAAGCATATTGTCAAGGGAGATGGTAGTGAAGTATAAGACTGTGAACTGGGTAGGTAAGTAGAGAACGTGTAAACATGGTTCAGGGTCTTATAAAAGATGTAAGCATCATCTAAAAGTTTTAGTCTAGGAAGTGGTATATTATTATGACAGTTTTTAAGATTCATTCTGAATGAATAGATGGAAGGCAAAAGTGAATGCAATTTACTTATGTTGGGCAGCTACTGAGTAGTCCAGGTGAAGAAGCAGTAATAATAGCAGCAATAATACATTGCTGTTGACTGGTGTATAATAAACAATCTGAACACTGTTCAAATGTGTCAACTAATTTAATTTTGAAAACAGTGAAATAGGTAGTATCATATCTATTTTATACATGAGGAAGCTACTGGACTAAGGTGATAGCAGTAGAGATAACACAGTGAATAAATTAGATACTGAAGTGAGCAATAAAATTAATAGGATTTAATGACTGAAGGATAGGTAGAAGGATAACTCTTGGGTATCTTGCATGAGCAGTTGCATAATGATTCCATTTTTAAAATGGAGAAAACTAGAGGAAAAGCAAGTTCATATTTAGCTTAACATTGGAAATTATGAAATTGGCAACTACATTTGGCAAAAATTGAGGCACAAAGTTATTTAGGAGGAATTTTAAGTTCTATTTGCAGATTATTCTAATGGGACGAATTCTGAGTTTGATATCTGGACTTCTAGTAATCTACATTATATTACTTTAAATGCTCAGGGTTGTAATTTCCCATATACAGGACTTTAATCAGGGTTTTTGAGCTACAAAAGTGGTAGATGATAGAGAATAGATTAGATAGATAGATAGATAGATAGATAGATAGATGATAGATAGATATGGTTAAAGTAGTTAACATGGCAATTATGAGGGAGCATAACTGCAACTAAAATAAATGAATTGTATATTGAGACTCACCTTTACATACTCACAAATTATTTGAATGCAATTTTAGAAAACCAAACAATGAATTTAAAAGATGTAAAACCGCCAAAATTTCAGTGATTCTAGGACTTTGCAGTAATATTATGGACTGTCTTCACTGAAGATGTGTTGAAAGAGTGAGAAAAAATTTAGGGGAGCTGAAAATTGAGATCTTAGGAGTATTAATTATAGGATGTGAAGATTATTGATATTCAAAGTAGACATGTTCAATTGCATGTTAAGAGTTAATATTCATGTGAAATAGTTGATTATAAAGGTTTTTAAAATATATTTTCTATTTTAAATTGACACAGCTATTATATATAGTCTGGGGGAAGAGGATTTTTTTAAAAATAGAGGCAAAATCAATGATTTTCAGTTGGACATGAAAGGGATTCTTACAACACTCAGTGAGAAAAGCATATATTGGCAAATTGGAGGTAGAAAATTTGAAGTATTTACTTTTGGAATAAGCTACTTAGAAAAGAAGAGTAAGGGTTAATGAATATCCACTGTGAATTAAGATTCATGAAGAGGCAAGCCCCAAAAGAAGAAGAAGCAAGTAGAAAGACGGGTGTTTTAAAAATGAATCACAATTTTAGGAACCCAGGGTATTACTTGAGTAGTAAAGATTCATTGTGATCAAAAGAGCAAAAGTGTAGCCAGGCCTAAAGGCCCTCATATGACCTAATTCACTAAGGCGTTAATAAAATTGCCATTTTTTAGAACAATATCATTATTACATAAAAGTGAAACCTGCTATTATACGTTCAATAAGAACTTTTTCCTAAGATAATATAAAAATCTGTTTTTACTTCATAAATAATTAAAAGATATATTTGTCACAGCATTTTAAAAAGACTTCTAAGTAGCAATAATTTGGAGTTGAAGAAATACTTTAACAATGCTTAAACTGCTACTCAAATTCAAAAGAGAAAAAAGTAAATATTATTTTTATAATAAATGTAAAGTATCACAAGTAAGAGTATGTTCTTTTCTACTCTTCTTTAACTGTATTTATTTACCTTCAATTAGGAGGGAACTGATTATGTTTATGAAATCAGAGGAACTCACAATATGCTGATTTCCATGCCAGACTATATATACATATATATGTATCATTCCTTTAATACACATTTATTGAATAGAATCATTTTATTATTCTGCTTTGCAATTGTAATTTGGTTGGAAATGAAAATGTAAAATGTAAATAATTCGTCTAACTGTAAGTCAATAACATGCTTCTGAAAGTCTTGAACTAATAGTGAAATATTCTGTTTTTGCAGATGTTCCCTTCAATGCCACACCAGTGACTGCCTTTTATAATGGCTGCATGGAAGTGAATATCAATGGTGTACAGCTGGATCTGGATGAGGCCATTTCTAAACATAATGATATTAGATCCCACTCATGCCCATCAGTTTGGAAAGACCCAAAGAATTTATAAGGCATATTTTCTCTGCTAATAATATCTGTTTCTCGAGTGTAATTGTAGTTATATTTCTATTACAGCTGGCAGGTTTTACTGATGATGTTCAGTATTTGATTATTTTGTGGTTACTTTGACCTTAGAATTTTTAAAAGGCTCTTTCACAAGAAAACATTGTGTTGTGATATAACATTTAAAAATTCTTACTTCTCTTGCTGTCTAGAAATTAAATGAGATGCATAACATTTTTTAATTTTAATTTTTTTACTACAAATGACATTGCTTTTGTTTGTAATTTTGATTTCATTACTGAACTAGTATTTAAATATTTTTCTCAGAAGGCAAACCAGTAAACCCAAACAAAAGCTCATGTTATTAAATGCTACCAGTTATAGGCCAATACTATATTTTTGTTGCTACCTTTTCCTGATGAAGACAGAGGAGATAGTAGCCTACTGAATATGAATTGAATAGGAGGACTCAAAGCTTTATTCCCAAATAATTCCTCAGGGGAGCCAGCTTTGGCTTTATCTTTCTTTCACCTGGTTTCAAATTCAAACCTTTTACTAAATTTTTATGAGAGCACACTTGAATCTAGCTTCTTGGGAACTAGACTTTATGAGAATAAGACATTCAATTATGTTAGAATGGGTGCAGGAAATCTCCTTAAATTTGGCTATATAGGTCACATAAGCTCTGAATTAGAAAAAGTAGCTATATTCAGTGGCAGAAAAGAGAATGAACAAATTTGGAAACATATCATTTCCCCACAATCCAGCTTTCATTACCATAGTAAGTTTCTGAAATGTGATTATTGATGGACAAAAGAAACTGTGAAAGCTAGAATATATTTTAAGCAAGAGGATAGCTAAAGAGAGATATAGTAAATACTATGTCTTTGTGATCAAGGAAATAAGGTGGTAATGCATTTCAAATGGCAGTTTCTTCACTCCTGAACTTACCATTTGTGACAGGCATACATCAGATGCTTCATTATCATTTATGAAATAAGCTTTTCTTTTCTATAGATGTTTTACTGCACATAAAAAGTTGTATTTTTAGGATGTGTATGCACAATATATTTATTCTAATAACTCTTTGAACAGTACATAAAATTATATAATATACATCTAACTCTTCATGAGCACAGTACTCCTTCATTTGAAAGACAGATAAAGCACAAATATTATGATTAGTTGTATAGTGAGGCTCAGAAATGGAAGAAAAAAGAAAAGTAGCAGTAACAAATATCTGACACATGATAGAAATTATACTAGATTGTCTTACTAGTTGTAATTTTTCTCTTGAGTTGACACTATATACTGTGCATGAAAAACATCAAATGACTGTTGTTAAATCAGAAAATGACTATTGCTAATTATGTTGGTGAAAAAAAGCAAGAAAGAAGTAAAACTAAAGTATGAGAAAAAAAGAAAAGAATGAGAAAGTTAATTTTCTATGGGGATGACATCTCTACTTCTCGGTTAATAATGTTACTTACAAGGAAAGCTATAGGGATTTGTTTCACATTTCCCATCAGAAGTAGATACAGTGATCTTCATAGAATATCCAGAGAGCCATTTACAAATTTTGTCTATTTTGGTATGCATTCATTTATAGCCAGAGAAGGAGAGGGTCTAGACCTTTGGCTAAGAATCTTTGATTTGATCATAGATTTTGATCTTCCAATAAAATATCTACTTTTAACAAATAAGTAGATACAGCAGAATGTCTGAAAGACTAAATCCCACTGAATAGGAAATAATAATACTTAAATCAGTGCCTGACACTCCTCAAGATTCTGTTACTTAGAGATACAAATCAGCTCTTTTCAGTTTATCCCAAGAAATTGAAGCAATAAAACTTCTATTCCTTACTCTTATATAAGAGTAGTTTGTTCCTTATTAATAAGACTGTTTTGATGATCTTTTATACAATGAGACTGTCTCAGTTCTGTAATTAGAGCTCTTGGCTAGATACTATCTTGAGAAAACAATGGAGAAAATATCCTGGTTTTGCTGTCAATATATTCACAGTCTAAGGGACAGCAGGAACGTGGGCAAGTAATTCAAGTTTATGTCTGAGTTTTGTAAGAGCTACAACAGACAAATAAACATTTACAGGGAAATCTGGAGAAGGAGAAATGAATTCCAAATGGAAGTTTAATTTCCTACTGCTTGAACTAGGTTCAAAAGACAGATGTGAATTTCTATCAGTTTCTCCACATTCAAGTCCTGGTCTTCCAACCATCGCCTATGATGCCTTCAGATTATCTCTGTCACACAGATATCTTATTTCACTATATTCATAAAGAATCCCCTTTGTTTTTAAATTGTTTATTTCATGAAGTACAATAGTTAATCCTGACTTTTGAGTTTCATCTATAAGTCAGTAGATCTCAATCCAGGCTGCTTATTAGAATCACAGGCTCTGTCCACCACAAGTAAATCAGAAAATTCTCATGGAAAAAACAGGAATTACAAACCACAAATGTATTCTCTGTGGATACCTCCTTTACCCCATGCACTCCCCTCCTTGCCATTCCTGTATCCTGTGCACATGTGAGTATGTGAGTGCACATACACACAAACACATGGAAAGACAGACAGAAAGCAAAAACATAAGTAAAAAATAGAGATATGAAAAGGAAGGATAGAGAAGAATAGTGTGTATGTGTATGTGAACCCAGATGGACAGAAAAAGACAACAAAGAAAAGAGAAAGCATGAGAAAAGGCAAGAAATATATGAAAACAGATTCAGTAAGAAATGAAGTACATAGTGAGGGTAAGGAAGAGAAGAAAAGGCTGGGCTAAAGAACAAATAGAAAAGGAAATGAAATATCTGCTTTGTGTAAACAAATAGGAATAGATAATGATGAATTAAGATCCACTGAGAAAAAGAGATTTAAGAGAGACAGTATACTGAAGTAGGGATAGAAATTAAAATAAATGCTCAAAAGAATAAAAGAAGAAAATGTTAGAGAAGAAAAGGGGAGAGATACAGAGAGAGATGGAAATACAGACAGTGAAAAGATACCAGATGAAAAAAGATTATGTAGAGGAAATGAAGGTAAGCTAAGTATATAAAAGGGAGTGATAAACAGAACAAATATAAATGTAAAAAAAGAAAGAATTACTTAGGACAGATAAGAAAAAAGGCAGACAATAAAAGATAGAAGGGGGATATAGTCTGGAAAGAGAAGACAAGAACTTGTAGAAAATAATTAAAAAACAAAAAAAGTAAAACAGGAAAGAAGAGATAATACAGAAAGAGAAATAGAGACAGAAGTAATATCGGAAGGGAAGAGATAGAGAAATGAAGATGAGGCAGCTAGTTTATCCATGGTGAAGAGGTCACACATAAGACTTGTGGTGGAGATGATCTTAAGGGCTCTGAAGTTGCAGCTGGTGGTCAAGTGACTGCTAGAGATCACACACCCCAAACTGTCTCTGAAGTCCTTGGTCATCAAGGATTCCTCTCCATGGGAAGAAAGGAGTGATGACCTTGTGTCATTCTGCCAAGAATGGGAGAAAGACCTTGAAACTACTGGTCTCTGGCATTTTCTTGCCTTCTTCCTGACCTCAAGGGAGTTCATAACAAAGGAAATTGTCAGTGAGTGCAAAGAGGAAATACATACAAAAAAAGGGCTTTCTTGAACATGAGTTTGATGCTAGAATTAGAACTGTGAAACATCTAATCCTATTTCCATACAGCAAATCCAAGAATCATCTATTATGGCAGGCACACTAATGGTGTCTATAAATACAAATATGCACCACCAGAGATGGCACAGAAAAAAATACAAGAGCACACTAAAGTTTCTAGCTTATAAAGACTAGTGAGTGTGAATGGGTGCCATTTCTCTCTTATTTCATGAAGAAAGAAACTTGCTTGGATTGTATCCTTCAGGAGAATCAAAAAAGTTTTTGTTGATACTGGGGTTTGAACTCAGGCCTCACACTTGCTAAGCAGGTACTCTACCTCTTGAGCCACTCTGCCAGCCCCTTTCTATATTGTGCATTTTTGAGATAGGGTCTTGCAAACTTGCAAACTGTTTGCCTGGACTGGCTTCAAACCGTGATCCACCTGATATCTGCCTCCTGAGTAGCTAGGATTACAGGTGTGAGCCACTGGTGTCTAAATGGGAGAATCAAATGTTAAGATGATGCCATAGTATCATCTGTGAGTTCATTTCCTCCTTCAAAGGGGTTGTCTCAATTTCAAACATCCTTCTAATTTTGATATAGTTCAAGAAATTCATATAATAATTATTCCAAAAACTTTAAATATTCTTTCTTCTTTTTCCTGAAAACACCAATTTATATTATCAGAAACTTTCCGGAGCTCAAAACTTAGTGCTTTTTGAAAAGCTTTAGCAAATACATATCCAACTAAAAATAGTAGCTTTCAAGAAAAAGTTTCTCTCATGCCAAGCCAATTGGAACTGACCTCTTACACTACCCCTAGAATATGTACTTTCCCCTATTATGTTTAAAATACTCTCTTGAATGCTGGGCATTGTGGTACATGCCTGTAATCCAGCACTTGGGAGGCTGATACAAGAAGATCATGAGGTCAAGGATAGTCTGGGCTATATAATGAACTCAAGGCCAGCCTAAGCAACATAGCAAGGCCTTGTCTTAAAACAAGCAAATGAACAAACAAAAGAACCAAAAAAAAAAAAAAGGGATATCCAGCTTTTAAGCACCCACCCTTCCTTCATTCATCCGCTCATTCATAGAAGTTCTGTGCATGGATCCTGGTGTGCAATCCTGCCTTCCTGCCTTTCTTTCTTCCTTTCTGAGAAGGAAAACTGAGCCTTAATTGTCCTGATTACTGGCAATCTACTGGCATAATAATAATGTGAACTCTTCCAAGTGATGAGCTAAGAAGAACTACCTGGGGTAGCTTTGGGAACTGTGTGCCAAACACCATTGTGTGGAGACTTGTGAGAACACATCTCATTACCTTCTGTCCTTCATGATGAACTTTTAGGACATGCAATGAAGAAAAATAAGTTAAATCATTAGCAAATCTCTTGCTTCCTAATAATCACAATTCTCCAATTTGATTCTTT